TATGAAGAATATAGGGTGGGGGAAGGGGATAAGGAATAAATGATACATGAAGATAGACCACAAACAGAGAGAAATACAGTGGGACAAACAAAGGAGTGGATAATGGTCTGGCTAGGAGAATGAATAGCTACAATGGGGCTTATTAGTGGCTAACAATGAGTAGTGTATAATAGCAGACCATGAGATAACAAGGCCTGGTGTGTGGGGGTTGGGGTAAGGACATGGGAGAAGATGCCTCAAGCCCTAAAATTGTTGAATTCGATATTGAATCCAGAAGGCTGTGGAGTTCCCAAGCAGAAAATGAGGTGCAGCACTGAGCTTCGCTGAAGCACTGCAGTAAGCCTGAGACAGAGATGTTGGCCAGGGAACAAGGTGGTGCATTGAAGTGCCAGGTGACTGGAAGCTTAGGGTTTTTATGGACAGAACATAGGTATTCTGCGAAACTGTCACCCAACCTATGTTTCATTTCCCTAATGTAGAGGAGACCACATTCTGAACAGAGAATGCAGTTGACTAGATTGAGTGAGGTGCAGGTAAAGAGCTGTTTCACTTGGAAAGTGTGCTTGGGTCCTTGGATACTGAGGACGGAGGAAGTAAACAGGCAGGCGTTACACTTTCTGTTGTTGCATAGGAAGGTGCATAGGGATGTGGGAGGTCGTTGGGAGTGAAGGAGTGAAGGAATGTCCTTTTCCTTGGTGAATACTGATGCAAAGTACTCATGAAGGACCTCACCCACTTCCTCTGGTTCCACACATAAATTCCCTTCTTTGTCCATGAGTGGACCTACCCTTTTCCTAGCTACCCTCTTAGTCCTAATATACGTATAAAAAGGCTTGGGATGCTCCTTAATCCAACCTGCCAAGGATATTTAATAGTCCTTTTTAGCCATTAATTCCATGTTTAAGTTCTTTTCAGCTTTCTTTATATTCCTCAAGGGCTTTATCTGATTTCAAGGCATAGAATCTGTGTGGATAGAATTGAGGAACTAGAGAGGAAAAAAGACCCCAGTGGGATGTCCTACTATCCCCCAGTGGGAGTTATGTGCAGGCCTCCTAAATCAGGAAATTGAAAAGGCAGATAAGAAAGGCACTATTACACTAATCATGAGGAACTTTAATACACAGATGGATCTTGGTAGCAGATCCCAACAAAAGGATTTTGCGGTATGTCTACGTGATTTTATTTGGAGTAGTTTGTAATAGAACCCATGATGGAATAGGCAATTCTGGATTTGGTGATATTGAATGACGCAGACTAAATTAGGGAGGTTAATGTGAAGGAACCCTTAGGGACAGTGACCATAATATGATAGAATTCACCCTGCAGTTTGAGAGAGAGAAGCTGGAATCAGATGTAACGGTATTATAATGGAGTAAAGGTAATGACAAGGACACGAAGGAGGAGCTGGTCAGAGTTGATTGGAATGGGAGTCTCACAGGGCAGATGGCTGAGTAGCAATGGTGAGAGTTTCTGGGCTTAATTTGGGAGGCACAGCAGAATTCATCCCAAAAAAAGAAGAAACGTAATAAGGGGAGGATGAGGTAACTGTGGCTGACAAGAGAAGGTAGGGTCAGCAAAAAAGCAAAGGTGAAAATATGCAATGTGGTGATGATTACTGGGAAGCCAGAGGATTCTTGGTTGGAAGCTTTCTTAAACCAGCAGAGGACAACTAAGAGTGCAATAAGATTGGAGAAGATGAAATATTATGGTAACCTAAGTAGTAGTATAAAAGAAGATTGCAAAAGATTTTTTAGATATATAAAATATAAGAGCAAGGAAAGACGTTGGACTGCTGGAAAATGGGACTGGAGAAGTAGTAACGCAGAACCAGGAAATAACAGAGGGACTGAAAAGGTACTTTACATCAGTTCTCACAGCAGCATACCTAAACTTCAGGGAGTCAGCGATGAGGATAGTAGTGAGGAGAAGGCACTAGGCAAGCTGAAAGGTCTGAACACAGATAAATCATCCGACTGGATAAGACTACACTCTAGAGTTCTGAAGGAGATAGCTGAGGAGATTGTGGAGGCATTGGTGGTGATTGTTCAGGAATCAGGAAATTCTAGGCCGGTTAGCTTGATCTTGATCATTGGCAATTCAAGTCCATTGTTAAGAATGAGATTGCAGAGTACTTGGAAGTGCATGCTAAAATAGGTCTGAGTCAGCACGGCGTCGTCAAGGTTAGGTCTTGTCTGAAAAATCTGTTAGAATTCATTGAGGTGGTAATGAGCAATTTAGACAATGGTGAGCCATGGCATGTGATATATTTGGATTTCTAGAAGGCCTTTGACAAGGTGCTGCACAGGAGACTGCTAAATAAGATGAGTCCATGAAGTTAGGGGCAAGGTACTGGCATGGTTAGAAGATTGGCTGACATGCAGAAGGCAGAAAGGATGGCAGCTGGTGACTGATGGAGTTCTGCAGGGGTCAATGTTAAGACTTACAACAATTCATGTTCTACTTTAATGATCCGGGCGAAGGAACTAAGGGCATTGTTGCTAAGTTTACAGATGACACAAAGATCGATGGAGGGCAAGGAGTGTTGGGAAGGAGGGGAGACTGCAGAAGGACTTGGACAAACTAGACGAGAAGGCATTGAAGAGCAGATGGAATACAATCTGGGTAAGTGTGAGGTGATGTACTTCAGTAGAAGAATAGAGGTGTATACTATTTTCTAAATAGCAGAAAGGCTTCAGAAATGTGAAGCACAAAGGGACTTGAGAGTCCTAGTTCAGGATTGTCTTAAGGTTAACATGCAGATTCAGTTGGCAGTTTGGAAGGCTAGTGTAATATTTACATTCATTTCAAGAGAGCCAGAATACAAGGGCAGCAGTTTACTGCTGAGGGTATATGATGCTCTGGTCAGACCACATTTGGAATATTGTGAGCAATTTGAGACCCTGTATCTAAGGAAGAATGTGCTGACCTTGGAGGGGGTCCCAAGAAGGTTTACAAGAATGATTCCAGGGATCAATATCTTGTGACATGAGGAGTGGTTGAGACTCTGGGTCTATACTTGTTGGAGTTTAGAAGGATAATGGAGATCTCACTGAAACTTACTAACATTGGGATGCCTGGGTAAAGTGGATGTAGAGAAGATGTTTCCATTAGTAGGAGACACTAGGACCTGAGGGCACAGCCTCAGACTGAAGGAACTGGCCCTGCAGAATTGAGAGAATGAGGAATTTCTTTAGCCATAGAGTAGTGAATCTATGGAACTCAATACAGCAGAAGGTTATGGAGGCCTTGTCACTGAGTGTGTTTAAGATGGAGATAAATAGGTTCGTAAAAAAAAAAACAAAAGAACTGTGGATGCTGTAAATCAGGAACAAAAACAAAGTTGCTGGAAAAGCTCAGCAGGTCTGGCAGCATCTGTGGAGGAGAAACAGAGTTAACGTTTCAGATCCGGCGATCCTTCCTCAGAACTGATGGTGGCTGGGAAACGTCAGTTTATATGCAGAAAATAGGGAGGTGGGTGGGGTAGGGAGTAAACGATAGGATAGAGCCCAAAGAGAGAGAAAGGCAGTTGGACAGACAAAGGAGTTGCTAACGATCAGGCTGGGAGGGTGAATAGTTGTTAATGAGGACTGTTAGTGACTAAGTGACTAAATAGGTTCTTGATTAGTAAGGGGATCAAGGGTTAAGGGAGGAAGGCAGGAGATTGGGGTTGAGAAACATATCAGCCATGATCGAATAGCGCAGCAGTCTCACTGGGCTCAATGGCTGAATTCTGCTCCTTTTTTTATGGTCTTATGGACTGCCTCTATATCTGAGAAGTCACAAATGGTGCTGGACATGTGCAATCATCAGCGAATATCCACTTTTCAGAATTTATGATGGAGGGAAGGTCATTGACGAAGTAGCTGAAGATTGTTGGGCTTGGGACACAATCTGCTTTGATTGTGATATCACCAGATGTTGACTGAATTTTTTTGAGGAGGTGACTAGGTGTGTAGATGAGGATAGAGCAATTGATACATGACTTGACTAAGTCCTTTGACAAGATCTCGTATGGCAGACTGCTTAAGAAGCTGGAAGTCTCTGGGATTCAGGGCAATTTGGCAAATTGAATCCAAAACTGGCTTTGTGGCAGAAAGGAGAGATTAACAGTCAAAGCAAAAACAGAAGTTGCTGGAAGGTCAGCAGGTCTGGCAGCATTTGTGAAGAAAAAATCAGCGTTATCGTTTCAGGTCCAGTGAACTTTCCTCAGAAGGAAGGCCTCTTAGGGAAAAGTTTCCCCCTTTGTTGAGAGAACAATAACCAGTGGAAACAGTTTTAAGGTAAGAAGTTGGAGGTTTAGAGAGGATTTGAGAAAAATAATTTTCACCCAGAGTATGATGGATATCTGGAATTCACAGGGTGATAGAAGTGAGAACCCTCATGACATTTAAGAAGTATTTAAATGAATTTGAAATGGCAAAGCATTCAGGGTACAGACCAAGTGTTGGAAAATGGGATTAGGATAGATGTTTATGACCAATGCAGAGACAATAGGCTGAAGGGACTTTTTCTGTGTCTTAAAATGTATGACTCTCTCAAGAATGTTACTCCTTGATTTATCCTTTACAATCTGGCTCCTGGTACTGTAGCTAATCATATGTCACGAGTAATCATACTTTTCAGCCAGTCTCAACTTTTTCTCCACTTCTGCTGTCATCTCCACTAAACTGTGTCCCTCCAGTACTGCCAATAGTTTTGGCCTCCTTACTTAACAGAGTTTACTTGCATTGAAAGCAGTTTAGGTAATGTTCACTCGGTTGATTCCTGGGCTGAAGGTGGTATACTATGAGGAAAACTTGAGTAGTTTTGAATTACACTCAATGGCATATAAAATTCCAACATGCTGGGTCTAACAGCTCCCATCTCCTTCCTTCGTTGAACACTGGAAAACAGTAATGACAGTTCCATTTTGTTGACAATATCTAAGGCCGCCCCCCCAGCGCCCCCATCCCCAATAAATGTAACAATGTACATCTAAAAGGTCTAGTCATATCTCTTACCTTATTTACGAACATTAACTCTCCTGCATAGTGCTGGATAATACGTTCAACTATAACTTCAATCTCTGACTCAAGGGATGGTATATTCAAACTCTGAAATCTAGTAAAACAAATTTAATATATACAAACTGAAATCTAATACTGCCATAAGTCTCAAGCACAAATCCTTCACAATTTATTCAAAATATCATTTAATTTTTCTTTGGATTTTTCCTAAATAAAAGTCGAGAATCAAAATGTTTATTTTCATTCTTTTCAAATTGAAGGATGAAGAGCAATTTGCATGACAATCTACAATATAAGCATGCATTGTGTAGTCAGCAGCAAAGAAGTATACTGACAACTGCATTTAAAGTACATTCTCACCTTTTTGAAATTTACAGCAGGAATTTGTGTTTTCGGTAGCAACACTAATCAATCAACAAGGTAAGTAGGGAGGCTGAAGCCATGCCTCATTTGATATCATGAGTTGAAGATACACCATTTGAGATCTGCCTTCAGCTCAGTGTCAGGTAAGTGTTTTCAATCAATGTAATGTTTTCCTTTCATATATTTTATGTCTAGATCACCCACACCCTGCACAGATTTTTTTTGATAGACAAGGAAGTCAAAGGATACGGAGGAACAGATAGGAAAATGGAGTTAAGACCATAATCGGTCACTGTTTCTTCACTGTCCCAGTGTCAAACTGTTGGAACTCCTTTCCTAACAGCACCATGGTTGTACTGACACCCAAAACAAATCATTCAAGACAGCAGCTCCACCACCATATCTAAGGCAAACTAGAGGCAAACAGTAAATATGGGCCTTGTCAGTGATGCCCATATCCCATGCATAAAATTAAATAATTAGAATAGCAGTGATCTTAAGAATTATGAACAGCTGAATATCCTGAATGCCCTTTGTAAGTTCTATGTTTCTCTGTCCCTGGTTCTTCTCCCATGTTACAAGACTCGACGCTAGGGGTGCTGGGTGGTGAGAAAGATGGAGAGAGAAGGTTGTGTGCCTGTGTCACAGTCCTGGGGACTATCTGGACACTCACATTATTTTGGAGGACTGCACTATTGAGCACACTCTAAGCCTGTTCAAAGCAAACTTAAATTGACCATTTGAAAATACTGCAGTAGTACTGGGCAATCAGCAGAATTTTAATCACTGGCAGTTTCCTCCTGGACCATTACTGCAGGCTCCCGTGGAGACTTTTCAGGAAATGCAAACATAAATTGACCCATCTGAGGATGTGATTCCATTGCAGCTTACAACAGTGGCAAATGCTGAAATTGGGGTGTGCATCTTAACGCTTGCTGTTATTGGGGCCACAGGAATTCAGGCCAATATTCATCACCTTAAGTCAATGTCTGTAGATTATTTAATGTAACTTTCATCTACTGTCTCATTGTCATTTCATAATTTACACTTCCACCAGGGTGCAACATTTGGTAGGAACAAGATCAGAAAAACAAAAGCTTCAGTTTCATTCCCACAAAAAAAATCATAATAAGTAAGATCAATGAGATGCAGGAACAGGAACACATCATTCAGCCCATCAAGTTCACTCTGTCATTCAATAAGATCATGGCTCATCTTATAATTTCCGACTCCATTTCCTGCCCATTCCCCAAAACCCTTGATTCCCTGACTGATTAAAAATCTCTCACCCTTGAATATTCTTCACCATGCAGCCTCATAAACTTTCCATAATACATAATCTCACAAATTCTCTCTTTTAGAGAAAAAAGTCCTCCTCATCTCTAATGGGCAACCCCTTAGTTTGAGATTATGCGCTCTGATCCTAGATTCTTGCAAAAGCAGAAACCACATAGAACATACAGCATAGTACAGGCCCTTCAGCCTACTATGTTGTGCCAACCCATTATCCTATTCTAAGATCAAACTACCCTTCATACCCTACATTTTACTATCATCCATGTGCCTATCCAAGTGTTGCTTAAATGTCCCTAATGTATCTGACATCTCCACTTCTATACTATCAGATCCCTAAGAATCATATGTTTCAATAAGGTCTCTTCTCATTCACCTAAACTCCAAAGAGTAAAAGCTCAACTTATTCAAATTCTCATCATAAGAAAATCCTAACCCGGGAACGGTGAACCCCGGATGGTGAACCTTCTCTGAATGGCATAATATCTTTCCTTAGACTGATAGACTCTCTTCAAGCTATATCTTTTGTTTTTTTATTCTAAAATTATTCCAAATGTTGCCGTTTTGTGGCAACAAAAAGAAGTTTTCACCGTATTTTCATTGAATCATTGAATCCCTACAGCATGGAAACAAGCCCTTTGGCCCAACAAGTCCACACTGAACCTCAGAGCATCCCACCCAGACCGTGTAAAATACATGTGACTCGGACACAGGTGTCATGTACTGGACTGTAGCCAATCTCTTGTGCCCAGAGCGTCTTGGGAGATTTCCTCTCTTCTTCTGGTGGTAACAGCATTGAGGCTGCATCCATCTCAGACAGTGAGGTTTCCTCAATGCCAGATGGAGGGGGAGAATCCATATTTTCTGATAGCCTTTCTCGCTGTTCTGAGAGGCCAGATATAGAGTCATAGTCATACAGCATGGAAACAGACACTTTGGTCCATGCCGAACATAATCTCAACATAAACTACTCTCAAGTTCCAGCTCCTGGCTGATATCGCTCCAAACCCTTCTTATTCATATACTTAAACATTGTAATTGTTCCCACACCTACCACTTCCTCAGGAAGTTCATTGCACACACAAACTACCCTCTGTGTAAAATATTTGCCCCTCATGTCTTTATTAAATCTCTCTCCAGTCACCTTAAAAATATACCCCCTAGACTTGAAATCCCCCATCCTCAGGAAAAGACACCTACCATTACCCTATCTGTACCCCTTATGATTTTATAAACTTCTATAAGGTCACCTCTCAACCTCCTACACGCCAGT